AGCACAATAAAAAATTGATGTCCCAGTTCAAAGGCAGGCAAGAGAAATTTTCTTTTATCTGGGAGAGAGTCAGTCTTTTGTTCTTTTCAGACCTTCAACTGATTGGTTAAGGCTCACCCAGTTTAGGGAGGACAACCCAGTTTACTCAGCATATCAATTTAAATGTTAAACTCATCTAAAAACATCCTCACAGAAACTCCCAGAATCATGTTTGACCAAAAAAAGTGGGTGTAACAGAGGGTTGAATAATTTATATTGGAAATGAGGTAGCATTTCCACACCTGATTCTTTTATCAAGTTGTTGTTCCACGTTTACTTGATTTCTTCCAACAGCTATATGCTCATTTCTCATTCAAATATATTTTGTGGGGTTTTTTTTGGTGGGGTGTGTGGGTGTGTGTGTGTGTGTGTGTGTGTGTGTGTGTCCGCTGTTAGTGATCTTATCTCCAAGGCAGCTTTCTTTGGATTAAGATTTCAGGTTTTTAAATCACTACTGGAAGATCTGTGAATGAGCTTGTTTTGTGACCTTTGCAAGAAACTTACTTGTTCATATGATTCCTGGCATGATCCTTCTCCCTTTTACTCCCAAGAGAGAAAAGCATAACATGAAGGTGAGTGGCCAGGGATGTCAGACACAATTGGCGCTTTGGAAGAATTTAAACACTCCATTTAAATTAGCCCTAGGGTTAGAACACGCATCCCCACCTCGGGTGGAGTACACATGTATCCTGTCTGTACTCAGCAAGCTGTAATAGTAGCCATGGCTTCTCTGTGTGGATTTGTAATAAATGGAGCACATCTATTTTAGATGGATAATCAATTTTGAAGTCCCTTGTTGTAAGTATGCTGTTAAAACAAAAATGTTAACTTCATGAGTGTAATGAGTAGCTTCGATGATGGCTTATTGACAGAGATGGAAGTAAAGGCAAGTGGGGGGAAGTGAGAAGAGGAGAATGAGTGTTATTAATGAGTATCTACTTGCAGACTTGAATGTCAGCAGCAACATTCTCCCTCCTGGAAGTGTCTTTCAACTATGCCTCCCATTACATTCCTGCAGCTCATGGTAGCATGAAGATTGAGACAGAGTGTGTCTCTAAGAAAGCCCTCCTTTACAATATAATGAGATGGAGATGGGTAATTTGCAGAGATTGCTGGAGCAGTGGTCAAATATGAAAAAAAATATCCAGCAGAATGAAAAGACCATGCTAAACAGGAGATGACTTATAATGAGCCCAGAAATTGCATATCAGATAGCCAGCTGGCCAGCATTTCCTTATATCCCTGTCTTCTCATGCAAACTGCTAAAATATTCTCCTACTTTTATTTTCTCAGCTTCTTAAGAGTTCTCATTTCTACCTACCACACTGAAAATATGAATGAATTGGCAACTCTACCACTGCAAGAAATAAGATTGAAGCCCTTTCAACAGAAATATTTGCCTAAACGTGGATGGATAATATTTCAAATGCTTTTGAAACCAAGGAAACTTCTGTTTCTTTCTTTAAAAAAAAAAAAACACCTAATTTTCAAGTCTCAATTTGACTCACAGCCTTTTCTGTATTCTATGGCCTCTTTTGCTATATAGTTTGGACAGACTTTGCTTGACGTCTCCAAGTAAGAAAAATGGAAGCGGTCTCTTCTTACTGGAAATTGACAGGGGAGACTTGGTGCAGTGCCTCATGTCTGTAATCCCAACACTTGGGAAGCCGAGATAGGAGAATCACATGAGGCCAGGAGTTCAAGGCCAGCCTGGGCAAGATAGTAAGATCCTATCTCTAGAAAAAAAAAAAATGAGCAGGGCATGGTGGTGCATGCCTGTAGTCGCGGCTACTCAGGAGGCTGAGGTGGGAGGATCATTTGAGCACGGGAGTTTGAGGTTGCAGTGAGTCATGATCTTGATCATCAAAGAAGAGTCTTGTCAAATTATTCAATATTTAGGACATTATCTGTCTACTTTCCTGATTTTTTACCTTTTGGTTACTGTCTATTTTGTTATAAAATGAGAAAGCAGTATCAAACCCTAAATATACATCTGTAAATGAATATCTTACCGTACATTTCAAACAATTTTAATGCTGTTTCTAAACATTCTCCATTTTTTTTTTTGGATTGTTTTTAGCTTGATCTGTTGTTGTCTGTGTTCATCTAATTTCTGTTTTGGAATATTATCAAAGCTACCAAATATTTGCAGCCATATTTAGATACAGATTTACGTAAAAATATATGACAGAGACTCTTTTGTCGGCCTTTTGGATAGCAAGACCTCAGGGATATATGATACTTGTTGAGAGCCTCAGCCAAACTCTGACTTCCCTGTGACTGGTAACTTCTGTTACCTATACTTTGATGGTGGGGTCCTGTTGGTGACCAGGCATAGAATCTCACTGAATACAAGGCTGTAGTCAGAATCCTGGGGTTGTAGGACTGGACAAGCAGAAATCTCTTTACTTAATAGATGTCACTTCTGTTCAAATTCTCTAGCTGTGACTGAAGGGAGTTGCAAGTAGCCAAGAAAAATGTGGTGCAAAGGGTATAAGGGGGAGGAAATGTCAGGGCCATGGACAGTTGGCAAAGTGGATCACAAGAGGATTTTTCTACACGTGTTTTCTGCCAGATCCAGAAATCAAAACTGAATGCCATGCATCTTTTTCCCTTTAAAAAAAAAAGGGAAGAGTACAGTGGGTTGGCAAATGTGAATGGCTCCTGATAGGAGACTCCGTATGCTTTCTAGCAAATGCTGAAACAAATTCAAGTGGACCTTTAATGTATATGGGGATCTTGTGTCTGTGTTCTATCATGTGCCTGTGTTTGTGTGTGCCCGTGTCTGGGGGAGGGGGGTTATAAGGCAGGGTGCTTAAATGCTTTGTTGCATTATGTTAATTCCTCGGCAGTGCAATCAAATTCATGTCGTAATTAAAGCTGTCAGTTGGAAGGCAAACCAATCGCCATGAAAACACAGCATAACAAATGAAGTGAAATGATTCTGCGTGTAGCTATACAATGCTTCGCCAGGCATGAAATTAAATAAGTAATTTGATGTTGACATCAGAAATTGAAATGATACCCACTGTTCCCTCATTCAGTCAGACCTGCATAAACAATAGCCAGAACAAATATGCACAACAAAGCCCTCTTCTCCACCCAACTCCCTGAGTAATGTACAATATATATGCAAAATAAGCATAACAGAGCTTTCCGAGACCTGAAGGATGTAATTTTCTTTGGTATACAATAAGATGATATGTATGTGGGGGTAGGGAAGTGGGTTTTGTGGGAGTATTTCTCTTTCTGGGATAAAATACATTTGCAGGAAGGGAAAGAGATGAAATAAACAAATCCCATGGTCTCTCTGAGTAATTCATCCTAAAATGAGTTTACGTCCCAGGGGCATGACTCCAAGCTGGTGGAGACCTAACTTGGCTTTTGCTTTCTTCTGCTGCTGCATGGAGGGCTGTGGGTGCCGGAAACAGGTGATGCTGTCATATGGCTAGTCACTGGTATGAGAAGTTGTCTCCATGACTACTGTGGATCTCCCTTCATACCATTTATGGGATTAAGAATGCAGCAGGATTTTAAAAAACTGAGTCCAGTGAGCAAGATCACACATTTATGGTGTTTCATTCCCCTGAGCTTGTGCGAAATGCTGAGATGAAGAAAGTTTTGCTTTGGGAACTGCATTAAGGAATGTCCTGAAGCACACTGTTCTTGTTTGATGTAGATGTCGTTACACTACATATTTCCTTCTCAAAGAGCTTAGCGTCAAGAAGAATCACATCTGCCGTATTTTTACAGATGTCAGATTCTCCTGAGCCACTTTTCTTATATGTAATCCATTCATTTATTTATACATTCATTCAACAATTCCTTATTAAATGCACCTTATATGTAAGTCATTGTGGAAAGCTCAGAGAAGCAATGATGAATAAGCCAGATGGTTACTGCTATCTGAAGTTTCCAGAGTAGGGAGCAGGACATGTAGGCAAAAGAGATACCAGTGAACAGAGTAGCTGTTACATCAGGGCAAAGGTCATTTTGCTCCTGGGAAGGTGTAACTTCCAACCCAAGCTCATCAGAGAAGAGGCTTGGCTGGTGCAGGGATGCTTAGCTGAGACCTGCAGACCTATTCAGCATTTGCTTTATCTTCATTTCAAGCTTAATCACAAAGACAAAGGGGATCCTAAAAATTAAAGAATTTATAAGGAGATGTTTTAGGAGATAAAAGAGAAACAAAAATCAGAATCTCAGGCATGTTTAAAATACAATTTTTTGGCTTCTTTCCTCAAATTAGTGACGCCCTGCATTCTTTTCAGAATTAATATTTTTAAGTTCGCATGTGTCAGAGCTATGACAGCCTAAACCGGCGATTCTTAAACCCTTCAGAAAAATGGAGCTTTTCACCGCTTCTCTTTGCCCACATATTCTTCGCATTTTAGTCTACTAATTACGTTTACAAAATGTCTCATTTTTGAAAAGCACTGTGTGTGTACTAACTGGTGCCTTTAGGGAATAAACTGGCAAGTAGGTCATACACTGGAAAAGTCATCCAAACCCACTGGGCTTTTTATTTTCAAGTCAGTCTAGGCTTTTTCCTCTTGCCTGCCCCTTTGCGGCCACAAAACTGAGTAGCTTGGGACCAGGGCATTGAATGTCAGCAAGTCAGGGAGGCAAGCTGATGCGTGTCTGTTTAGTCTCAGTGCAGGGCGAAATGCCATCATTAATTCATTACCCAGCTGCCTGTCAAATAAATTGGCAATTACGTCCACCGCAGAAGCTTGGAATTCAGTAAATAGCACGTTAGCATCTCTGAGTTGTTGAGAGATGTAAAGGGGAAAATTAAGCAACACGGTGTTTGTATCAGTAGCAGATGACAAGGGGCAGCATACACTGGTGATGTGATGTAGTGATGAAAAGCCTGCAAAGGGCTGGTAATGAGCTGTGTGGATTGGAACATGTTAAAAACCATTGCTGATTTTCCACTTTGTCTTTATGCTTTATTGCAGAGTTCAGCTCCTTCCAGCTTGGGAACAGGCTACTTCGTAAGTCTATCTCAACTTCCGCATACGTGCCTTGCATTGGCATTGATTTACTTCTATAATGAATGCTCACTGGGATGGGAAAAAAATCTCAGAATTTATCTCTCAGTCCTAAAGAGCAGGCTGATTTCCATTCTTTATTAGGAATTGTTTTATTTTTGGAAGACATAACATACTGGGCCCTAAGGATCATAAGTAAGTGTGAGGTGTATACCTGGTTCCTAGCACCCAGGACATTAGCTCCTTACCTGGCTATATAAGGAGATACAGGGAACTCTGATTAGCTTGTGCCACCATTTCCCCATAATTGCTTTTTTTAAGTAAGACGTGTCTTGTGGGGGATGGAATTCAGATTATGCATTGAGGTATTGACTTCTTGAAGAGCAGCATCTCTTCCTGTACAATGAGTTGCCTTTTTTTGGTGGGGATAGTGGGGAATGGAGATGGTATTTTTTAGTGAATGTTTTCCCTCACAGTCTGTGTAGCTTGCCTTTAGGTTTTCTTTTTGAAATAATTAAAATAATATACTTATTTTTGCTAAAATGCAAAGTTTATTTCTGAAACGTATTCTCTGTCCTTTGGGAAAGATGGTGGTGGGGTGACCCTTCAGGAATTATCACAATGTTGTGATAATCGTGAATCTAAAATTCATTCTCAGATAGCAATTGTCACTTCATTATATTTATTTATAATGAAATTTCCGTTTTTGGATTTGGTGATCCTTTTCAAGATACAAATAAAAAAGAATGAAAAATAAGCATTATTTGTACAAAAGGATAACATGTCAATGTAGAAGTCTGTTGTGATACTTAAAGGAACCTAATTTGTGTTCTGAGTGATGAACACTGATATGGTCATGCCTCAGCATTTTCCGAGAAAATAGTGAAATCATGAAAATCAAATAAAGTGGAAAATAATTACTGATTCACTTTAGTTGTGTTTAACTTTTCTCCCCAATAGTAATTACTCTGTTCTTCTGCCCACATATTTCTGTCAATACATTTACATTAAATGTATGTACAGCATAATTTCATTGATAAATGAGTATTTTCTAAGCTTAGCAAAAGTGGCATTTTCTAGATGTTGACATTTTTTTGGTCTTAATCTATAATAGGAGAAAAAGGATAAAGATGATTTTTGGACCTGCTCAATACAGTTAGCACACTTACCCTTGCTCCTACTTACTGTGGCTGAATATTCATGCTGACAGAAACAAGCAGGATACATTCAGTATCCTGCCTCAGCAGTCGAAATAACAGACGTAGCCCCATCTGGCATCTCTTCACACCAGGCTGGATGTGGGTTGAGATGCTGGAAGTAAAATCTGGAGACTGCAATATCTGTTCTCCATCCAAAAGCTGAAGTCTCTCCCTTTGATTTCTTCAGCAGAAAGAAGGCCAAAGCCACTACCTTAGTCCTTGATTACTTCTATACTGAACATTCTAGTATTTTTTTTTTAATTGTCAATATGATCACCCTGAAAGGAGAAAGCCATTTCTGGAAAATTGAGATTTTCATTATGCTTTTTGTCACTTATTTTTTTCTCTCATTCCAAGAATGCTTATTTTTATTCCCTAATAATACATGCTTATGATTAAAGGGTCTTTAATTACAAGTCTATTAATAAAATGACTTTTAAAGCACACTGGATGAGTATAAACGTTTTTTCTAATTTTGGTAAAATTGCTCATAGACTGACTTACTTTGCTTACATAAAAATCTGTGGTATTATTAGCTTACATGGAGAAGATACATACCATATATATATTCGGCTCTCAACTATGACAAAAATGCCCCACTAGGATGTGTTTCCAATAATGTGATTGTTATGTTATCAGAGTGCAAAATCTATTGATATTGTTGCCAGGTCCTCATGAAAAGTATCTTCTATTTCAGCTTTCATTCCAATAGTATCATATGTAATAATTTCCAATAGTAACTTCCCCACTGGTGAGTTTCATACTTTTGAGTGGAAATGATATGTTCACAACTTACATTAGTTCTTCTCCAACATATTATGTACACTCTGCTTTGTGTTTGTGCTATCATAATAGCTTTTTACTTATGTCTGTAACAAAGGCTCAGCTTCAGGTAAGTGAAATGGTAATTTTCAAGTCCATCCTTAATCCTCTTTAGCATCTCTTTGAAATGTGGACGGAGGCAAATCACCTTCAGAGTCGATGAGCTATTAATGCAATTGAACCGTAACACGAATTCTGGTATAAGAAAGCTGAGGGCACTCACCTTCAGTTTAACAATCTAGAAGTGTTTTGAACACTTTCCCGTGCCCCGACTTCACAGTATTCCTTTGTTTCTGTTTCATACTCCTCTAGAGCTTTTGTCAACTGAGGTAAGATGCTATTCATTGTATGTGTTAATAATAAAATAGACACTAACCTGAGCATACACATACACACCCTTAGCCAAAAACAGTATATTTTATTTTCAGCTCTTTTATCTGTAGTGATATGTTAAAGGGTTTAAAGGAGAAGCCTTTGTTTTTGATCTGGTTGTATTTGTTTATATCTCCTTGGTTTTGTGTTCCAAAGATGTCTGCTTAGGTCTGTCACTTTTCCAATCCGTTTAGAAGCAGAAGATTTGAGAAATGAGAACAGCAGCTAAAATCAGTATTTACATAAGCATATTGCAAAGAATTCTTAAACTAGACAAAATAGAGAAGGATTGGAACAAACTTTCTACATTTTTGGGAGCTTTTGAATAATGTGGGTGTTATACACACAGAGAGATACACATATATATTCATTACATACTCATGCCCAGCTCATATTCTAAATATAAATGAAAGTATAGACTAGTTGGAATCAATTTGCTTTTTTTTCTTTTTTGGCAAGAGCACTAAAACTTGTTAGAGTGTGTGTAGGATTTTCTTTTCTTTTTTTTTTTTAAGTCAATGCAGTGAACATATTTTCTTTTCAATTTAAATGTTTTAGGCTGTATTTTCTTCTTAAGCATGAATTTGAGGTTTCATTATGCATAGTGTATAATTAATAACTTAGAATGATCTTTAAGACTACTTGCATGACCTTGGTCACGTTATTTGATGTCTCTGAGTCTGTTTCCTTAATACCTACCTATTAGTGTTACAAATATTAAATAAGATAAGATGTTTAATGAACACAGAATATCACAGTATACTACCAAGTAATAAATCCTGCCTTCTGTTATTCATACAATCGTGTGTGATGGAGCAAAGTTAGTCTCATCGGGGGGCTGTGCAATGTTGTGTTGATAAAAATTAATGATAAAAAGTAGGTTTTGTAATTTTTACCTGTATAACAGGAGTATTTTATTCTTATTACATTCTTGTAACTTTCTAAAGAGCCCAGGATTTTGTGTTTGATCAGTTATATACCAATTTATTCTGTATGTGAACATAAAACAGATAAGGTATTCATCCTTTGTGATCCTATGTGAACATGATGATGTTGGAATGAACCGTTCTATCAGCTGTCCGCATATTATGGTTATTCTCTTTGTCAGTTAAAGTTACTTGTGTATTTTCTTCCTCAGAAACATTAGGAGCACTTGGAGCTTTTAAAGACTGCTTAGTAGCTTTTAGGATTGGGCTGAGAGATTAAGGAACACCTGTTCAATATATTCAAGTTTTATGAGCTCGTATCACATTTGCTTCTTTCTGACAAGAAAAAGAGAAATGGATGCCCTAGCATATATGAACACAGTAACTGAAATCTGTACAATGAAAAGACCAGTGAGAACATCTCATGTTGGCCAGTGGTCTGGTGTGTCATCACAGGAAAGATCTGGACTCATTCTTTATAGCACTTGACTCCACCTGGAATTGGCTGCTGCTTTTGGGGCAACTAACCAGCCAGGCAGAACTCGATCCCTGGTGTAGGGGAAGTACAGCCTTACTTTATATTCCAAGTGACATGTTCTGCCCTTTCTGGATAATTTTCAGCCTTCTTCCAGGTTTGAATCTAACTGTCTTAGAACCATAGCCTCAAATAACTTGGGTCCTGCTTTTGTAAATTCCAGTAATTTCTCTTAAGGATTCTCAACTAATAATTTTCATCTTCCTCAGTTGGGTCACATCTAGTAATTGATATACTTTAAGGTTATCAGAGAGAACAACTTACTTCTACTCAGTGACTAAAACTGCCACTTTATATGGTAAAGGGAAATGTGTAGTGGTATACATCTTAAAATGGGATTTGTACAATTATTGTTTTCCTGCGCAATTGAATTACTTCAGTTGTGTAGATAGTGCTGGTAACAGGCAGTAGGTGCAAAAATCTTTCCATCCAGAGTTACAAAGGTCATAATGGGAATATTCTTTGTCCTTTCTAAGTTTTTAACTATAAACCCTTGAAATATCTCCTGTTTTCCTTTGCTATAATTTTTATAACTTCTTTTTTTTAAAAAAAAAAAAAAAAAAAAGACACGATCTCACTGTGTCACCCAGGCCATAGTGTAGTGTTGTAGTCATGGCTCACTGCAGCCTCAACTTTTCTGGGCTCAGGTGATCCTCCCACCTCAGTTTCCCCAATAGCTGGGAGTACACGTGCACGCCACCATACCTGGCTAATTTTTGTAGAGACGGGGCTCCATCATGTTTCCAAGGCTTGTCTTTAATTCCTGGACTCAAGCTATCCACCCGCCTTGGGCTCCCAAAGTGCTTAGATTACAGGCGTGAGCCGCCATGCCTGGCTGTATAACTTCTAAAACTGATTTGTGGTATTTTGTTTAACTATGGTTTTAACTGTTCTCCCATTTGCCCAGATAATACTCACCAGTGGTGCTGGTGGCTGCAACATTTATCCTGATATAACTGCCAGAAAATATCTTGCTCTCATTATTTTCACATCATTCTAGTATATCAACATTGGAAACAAAAGATGTCATTCTACTTTCAGTGGCCGCATTTCCGTTTATAAAATATAGTAATTCTTGATCACTGAAATGTCACATCCTAGAAAATGTAGCATTCCTATGCGTGATATTAACATCGTTCTCTAACAGTT